TATTGCTTAATATGGTTACATTGAAAGTTTTGTTTCTATAAATTAATTTGTATTAAATAAATCATGGTTAAATAAACAATCTGATAATGCTATATGTAACTAATAAACGTATTTTATATTTTATATAAATTGTTGATAAATATTTTAACCAATGAATTATCTATATTATGTAACATTACCTGTTTAAATGATCCAATATTGACCTTAATAATTATCGATTGATATAAATTAATAAAAAATGAAAAAACAATATCAGGAGAGATAAAATTCATATACAATATATATTATAAATCATGTTTTATTAAAATGATTTACATTTTGAAGGCATCCAGTTTATCAAAATTTAATGATCATAAATGCAGTCTCATTAAAATGACATATATATATGAACATACACATGAATTTTAATCGAACAAACCGAATCCCATATCCTCGTCATCTGATTCAGATTCTTCTTTCTTTTCTTCCTTCTTTTCTGCAGCAGGTGTTTCTACTGCAGCTACAGCGGGTGCAGCAACAGCAACAGCGGTAACAAACTTACTTGGATCCTAAAAAAAACACCATACATTATTAGATATGTTTAAATAACTTTATAGAAATAAATCTATATATTTTATTTCATCAGACTGCGTTTTACGCATTTTTCCACAAAAATCCTAGCGTGCCAATGGGTTCCACTATTTCTAGCTATGACACTGTTGCATAGAACTTTTAGATGCAAATATGTTCATCAGATTTATATTTAAGAAAACAGTTATTACAACATGCGTAATTAATAGATAATGTAAAGTACGCACTTTGATATATTCCTTAATTGTTGCTGCTTGTGGGAAATCAACATCAGTAACAGCAGCAATAGCCAATAGATTCTGAAAGCCATTAGCAATGCTGTGAGGAACACTAGCTATCGTAGGATAACCAATGACCAAGCAGACTGAAGCTAAGTTTGCTACTCCAGCCAAGAATTTTTCACGGAGATCTTCCGGTTTGATATCCAATATTTCGGGAGCAAAAATAGTACCAGAATCATAAACTTGTTCAACAATTAAACCATATGAGAATGGAGAAATATTCAACATATTTAAAAGAGTAGCTTCAGATGCACCCACTTTGTCACCTGGTTTTAAAATGTGTACATCATTCTAAAATATAATAAAACAATATTAATTATATGATTAATTTTTATAGAAACATAAAGTAAACTATATACTTACAGTAATTTCAATAGTACCCTTGGAAATTTTAGTAGGGATGCTTAAAGCCTGAAAGAATGATGTTTT